GGGTAAATTATGGACCGATCCCTATAAATTCGATAAAGATTTCAATTGTTATTAAACTGTTTCATCCCACCCACCAAATTTTTATAAATTCATATTATGCATTCAAAATTATGTTATGTATCTCATCCTACCAAATTTGGACTAAATTTTAAATTTACCAACCAAACCATTTTAAAGATTTGAAACTACCAAATTTTGGTCCAATTGGACCAAAGTGGTAAAGCTTCTAATGATATTCTAATTAACATACATATATGTATATACTATACCACCACTTTAGTGGGAAGTGTATATTGGGTTTGTGCTGGTATATGTAACGCATAGAAATATTGCCTCCACCTTAAGGTATACCAATCGACTCAGTATCATTTTCTAAATCGAGTTAGGGGATTTACAGATCGAAATTTTCAAGATAATTTGATAAAATTTGACACAAACGTCTCTTTTGGCCCAAGGACGAAGCCTTGGACCTGGCCCCAAACAACTTTAATGTTTATGAAAGTTTATAAGTATATTTCCCCTTGCCCCCATATAACCTCTCTTCCATAAAATCTCTTTTTTGTCAAAAAATTTTTGAGAATGACTTCAGAAGTAGTGAATTTGGAATCAAATAAAAAGGACGTCCCTCTTATGGCAAGCATGTGTTAAAATCATCACTTCTTAAGGTCTTTTTCAGTTCTTCCATGGACTAAATTCTACTTTTTTCGATTCTTTTTTTACTGGGATGTTATACACTATTTGATCTCTTGATATTGAGCTATTAGTTGAACATACATACATACATATATATTTCTAATCTTCATTTTATTATCGTTTTTTTTCGTTTAGAAGGATTTCAGCAATTTTTAATAAAAAACATTTTCCTATTGCGCGGGAAAACTGATAATCATCTTTCGCACTCTGGTTATACCCTAATATTCTTATTTGAGTTTATCGGCAAGTGCATGTGTAAATATGTGTTTGTGTGGTTTAATGTTTGTGTCTATATAGAACCAACAACAACACAATCTATTATAGAAAAACACATGTTTTTTGAAAGATTCACCTCATCTTCCAGCACGTTGGCATCGTCAGGTTGAACCGAAAGTTGCAAATAAACCTCAGCTGCTATGCGGATCTCATCGCGCGCTTTTAAGCTTGTTTACTTCTACTATTGATTGCGGAAAAGTTGAAAAAACAGAGCAATAAATTACGAAAGTGGTTGATAGGGTTTAATGTGCACTTGGTGCGCGATTGGTAATAATTGACAGTTAGCTGCTGGGAACGTACAAACAGTTGTTGCTGGGTTTGTTGTAGTTAGTAGTTGTTGTATTATTGTTAAGTTGTTGCATTAGTGATTGCAGTTAGTTAACTATATTCAATCGCGAACGTTTTAGCATTTATACCAACAAACTTAATTGCTAACTTTGGTGCATTTAGTTAGTTAACTGTCGCATTTAACTAAAATATTTGCAAAATATATTGTGTTCGGACAAGCCATACGATCGCAAACTCTAATAAATTTTAAAAACACTTCTGTTTTTTATTTTCCATCACGGCCAAAAATTGAACATAGTAAATACGTACATTACTTACTATAGAATAGGAAAAATTACTCGATATCAAACTTAATTTTTCTTCCATATTTATTTATTTATTTGTCCATTACAACACAATTACAAATTATACTCTAACCCAATTTACCGAGCAGGGACGATGATCATACGCTCGTTGTAGTCTAGCAGACCAGAGTCTCTGGTGGAAATCGAACCCACAACCCCCAGACTGACAGGTCAGCACACTACCAACTAGCACCATTTTCTTCCATATTATTTTACATTAAATACAATTCGAAATCTTATCAGAAATTGTTGCTTTTATTTGGAATTTACAGATGAATAAATTGTATCTCTTCAATGGAGCTCATGTTTAGAAATGTCAATTCCTGAATTTTCTGAATTTAGAAATGGCAGATAATCCCAGCACCTATAGGGATTGTCAAAGATTCCAATGATCTTCGGAATTGGTTTGGAAAATAATAAAAAAACTTCACTGGCCTCATAAAATCCAACGTACCATAATTTTTTTATTCGATAACTAATATCGATATCAAAATCAATTCCGACTATCGGTTTAATTTTTTTAAAATGAATGACTCCAAGCGATATTGCAGAATAATAAACATATGTATATATTTATTAATGTTCAAACTGTATTTCAAAAGAGTGAGTGGACCTATATTGCCACTTTTAATACCAAACAAAAATTTTCAACATATAATAAGTATTTGTGGAACATCATTTTTGATAATGGGTAAAAAATGTCAGGATTATACTTTATTTCATTAAACGGATCAATAAAATATCATCATCATCATCTGATATATAATTTCCTTAATTGTTTGTTCCCCTTTTTTGTCTATTCTATCCAGAGCTTTTTGAAGCCCACAGATGGCTTAGAAAGCTGAAACTTCGCATAGATATAGTAAAATACCTAGGCCAAACCCTAAGGTAGCCGAATATTTTTTTGCCCTATGGGCTGAGAATTAAGAGCAAAAAGGGGCCTGGAAAAATTATTTTTTTACATTGAATAGGCCCTTAAAACATAAGCAAAATTGCCTTGCATATAGTCCTAGCAATGAAGTAATCCGATATAAGATTTATAGACTACGGTCGTAGAATTGAGGGCAAAAGTGGCGTAAAAAAAGAGATGTCACGCCCGCTAATGTAAGTCCGCTCATTTTTGCTTAAAATATTTATATAGATGTCAAAGTTGTCAGTGCACAATTTTAGGACTCTATCTATTGAAGTTTCTCATATCTATATACGAATTTTAATGCGTATTTTGCACATAGACGTGGCACCTCGCCCATTTAAAATTGCAAAACAAAATGTTGCTTTCAGACTATATTAAGATACTGTGAAAATTTCTCGAAAATCGGTCCATCCGTTTAGCTGTTTATAGACTTTAAACTAAAATACAAACACACACACATTTCAAAACTTTTTTATTCATAAATTTTGCAAAAAATATCTGACTTTGGGTTAGAAAAATTTATCTGGTACACACGGGCTAATATATAATGGGGTATACCGTGTAGGGAAGGGTTCGGACTACATCGCAGTATAGAACTTTTTTGTTTTAGGGAATTTTAAAGTGGAAAAGTTTAAAATCTTCTAAAATATATAAAGGTTTATTTTTTTCTAAACGTGATAATTTGGAAGTCAAATTTTTTCACAAAATTTATTTCACTTTATTTAGTTAGTTTGAAAGAAGGATGTAAAATATATACATCAAATCCGAAGAAATACACCTATGCCTCTATCGGGCCTGTTGTGCGCTCCTTAACAAGTGCCTCAGGGGGGAATCGAACCCACCACTTCCGGTCTACCAGACTAGAACACTAACCTACCGGAGGCCACTATTTCACTTTAAAATTTTTGAAAAAACGAAAAAGTTATAATCATTTAAAAATTTACATAGCAAAATGCCGTGATAGTTCATGTTTGATAAAGTTTTATTTTTATTTTATTTATTTTTTTTTTGCCTCCCTAGCTTTACTAGTGTTTAGTTTCAAATAAGAAACGTAACTTTAAAATCGGTGCCCATAAAAAATGGAGGAGGGGTAAACTTACGTAGGGCACCTTTGACATATAAATTTTTTTTTTTTATTTTCTGAAAGTTTCCACGTGAGCTATTTATCTCTTAAAATTTTAAAATCTCTCTCAGCAACTTATTTTTTAATGACTACTAGAATGAGTCTAGCAATGTCTTACAAATAATATATTATGTAAAAACTACAAAACTACTTACTTAGCTCCCTATTTGAAGGCAATCGTAGTAAGCACTTACTTAGCTCTCCATTTGTACTTGCCTCCAATGTCATCCCCGAGTTAAAATAATGACTTAAAATGCTATTGTGTAAGTAAATATTAGAATTTTTACCTCTTACTTTTCAATGTTAGTTTTTGCTGGGTAAGTGTACCAAACTCTTTGAGGAATTGATAACTGGCCATCTTTATCACATAAATTTCTTATATTGTACACTTTTCCAACCAAGTTTTCTTGAAAAATCTTTTTGTTTGTTTTTTTTTTTTAACTACGGTATTCAACAGAGAAGTTTAAAATGTATTTTATGTTCTGTGAAAAAAATAAAAAAGAAGACAGAAAAACACTGCTCTGACCCAATGTCAATCGAAGTCAAACCAAAAAGTTAAAGAGTGGTACTTGTGCTATTGTAGACGTTTTGTGTCGTTGAAAGCATTTATGCACAAATTTCAGCAATGTTTCCATCGTAGAGTACTGCATAGAGATCAGGTTAAATGGATCACGACTGGCACGGATTTCTTGTAAAGTGTTTTTGTCGTTATTCATTGAATTAAACTGCATTAACAACTGATGAAGTAGTTGTAAATTGCACAACATACTATTCACAAGTGACGAAACATTGCTACCAATTTGGAACAGGTGTGAGCAAAGTTTATGAACAAAAAAGAAAAGACAAAATGCACAAACTTAAAGATATTGTACGAGAATCACAAATATTTAAATACATGCGAAGTCACATGTTAATAATATTTAGATACAAAGTTTTATTATGTTTTGTTTTTATGACTTTGTTGTTAGAAATGTATTCTTAAATTTTTTGTAAAAACCCAAATTTTGAACTGGCAATACGTTCATTTGCACGTATATACACAAAAACTTAGTATCAAATTCAGCGGCCGATAAATGATCGATTTTGTACCAACTTCATTTATTTGTTTGTAAGAAATATGCCAGTTCGTAATGGGGTTTTTCTTGGGGGTGCATAAATGGTGGCAGGGAATCGAATAACGAATTTCATGAATTTGTGCATTATATAATAATTATTGAGTCCATTAAAGATATAAATATGTAATCCTTCAGTATTACCTAAAGCATGTACAAATTGTTATACTCATTTGTTACCAAGACACCATCTTATACAGTTTTCGAATGTATAATACGATAATAAAATTATATTTTTCTTTACTTTATAGGATCTCAAAGTTATAAAACGGCATCTCATATTAAAAATAACTACAGTTCACCTCCATCAGCCGCAATATCAGCAACGAATCTACTACGAAGTAACATTTGTTCAAATACCACAAATAGCAGTCGAAATTCTCAATTTTCTTCAGGAGCAACATTTTCATCATCAAGCAATTCAATGGTTACAAATCGTCAATATTCATCATTTTCAAGCGCTTCGGCGGCTGTCACAAAAATGCCAATTCCACCGTTTTTAGCAGCATCTCCATTCCTTTTTTCATACCGCAGACTGAAGGATGAATCAAATAATAATCTCGGATATATGAATAGTAATCACAGTAATGGCAGTAGTTCTACATCCTCGCAAAGTTTAAGTCCCCACAATGCTAGTATAGTGGCTTCATCGTTCCATGCACATTCGCCGGTCGGATCGTCAACCTCGTCATTTTCAAGTGCCAACTCTGGCGGCAACGGATCCTTTTTGCAAGACTACGATCGCAAATTTAGCTTATTAAGTCTATTTAAAAACCCTTACAAATACACTGACCGCAGAAGTACTGCACAGATTCCAACAGGTTTTGGGGGAGGTGCAGCTGCAGCAATTAGTTCTGCATTTCCGATGGCAAGTCCGGGCTTGTCCGCATCTGCTTTTAGTTCTGCGGCGCATACTGTAGCCATAAGCCATAAAATCCAACCAACAAACTCATCGAACGCATCGCCATGGAAACTTATGGCCGAAGCCCACCAAAGCTCTCCTTTTAGCCATTCTTATCAGGGAGCATTTAGTGCAATGACTACCTCCGATGGAAGTAATCGTAAGAATGCATTTAGCAGCATAGTTTCTGGAGGCAGTACTGCCTTTGCTCGTTCTAATGATACTAGCACAAATAGCAGTGCAAATGGTTGCAGTGATCCATCTAAGAATCGCAAAGTTCATAAATGTGACAATGAAGGTTGCGACAAAGTATATACAAAAAGTTCTCACTTAAAAGCCCACAAGCGAACTCATACAGGTATGTAGTTTCTTAATCCTTTAATCCTTAAACTTTTGCGCGATATTTGTTTTAAATTAATTAAATTTCCGGCTAATCAACCACTTTATACAATATTTTGCATCTATTTTCTGGCAGGTGAAAAACCATATGTTTGTACTTGGGAAGGATGCGTTTGGCGCTTTGCTCGATCCGATGAACTAACCCGCCATTATCGTAAACACACTGGTGTTAAGCCATTTCGTTGTCAATTGTGCACAAGATCGTTTAGTCGTTCCGACCATCTATCTCTGCACATGCGAAGACATTGACTACATAATGTTTTAGACAAATTACACTTATAGATAAATAAATTCACACACACACACACACCTAGCTAAATTTGTATTGTTAAGATTTATGTAAATTTTAATTTTACTATTAAATTTACTATTTATTTATTTAAAATAACCAACTGAAAAAAATACTCATACTAAATAGCTTCAAAACGTATCGTAGTTAAAAAACAAGTGACATTGAGATATTTTAAGGAATTGTAATTAATCTTTACATATCATATTCTCCAAATAATGAAATGTAGATGCCTAGTAATTTAGGTACCCGGACGTTACATGATCAACTTTTGTTTTCCAAGTATCGCTTAATTACTAATACTATTATATTCAATGGAACAAATCAATAAAATTATATTCGGAGTACATCTTAACTGCAATTAACGTTAACTCACAATTTTTAACTAGTTTATGAATTGCGCAGGCCTGCGGGAAATGAAGCGATAATTGTATAAAAAGTAGCATGCAGAAGCAAATGGACCTAAATTTAAACCTGATATCTAAATGCATTCTACTTTAAATTTTTTAGTATTTTTAATAAAACCAGTAAAAATTTAAGGATTACAAAGCAAAATCACCAATTATGGATTACAAAGCAAAATCACCAATTTTGCAAACAGTAGAAATGGGTTCAAGTATACAAGTACACGCCTAGAACTAATGGTACTAGTAATTTTCCAAACACACTCAGTGTTAATTTGAGCCTTAAGATGGTATAAGAAAGTTTACAGTTGGGAACTGAGTACTGACTTTTTTACTAGTAAAATACTAGTTCCATTTCCTGCAGGGAGGTAAGACAAAATTATAAAAAAAAGAAAATTTCAAAAATTAAAACAATATGCAAATGTTTAAAAATATGCCAAAATAAAAATTATATGTAAATACTTTTAAAATATGGTATAAACCCCAACATATGCAGAAATAATATCTAACAAATCAATGACAAACTCTTAAAATATATGAAGAATAAACTTATTTAGTCACTTTTCGTAATAAATCAGTTCTTTGGTTATAAGACTCGAATTAGTATTTGAAGAAAATAATATAAATAAAAATACCATTCGTGAAATTGTGCTCTCTTCCAGAATAACATTTCTGCACTTGGTCAAAACTTATCAATTATCAAACATCGAATATTGAATCAAATGCAAATCCAATAGCCAAAATCCCTACTATGAACCGAAAATTTTAAACCAAATGATGATCTCTAACCTGAACTAATCTTCACATTTTAATGATTGAAACGTATTTGGCACTTACATATATTAAATATTAAAAAATATCTCCAAAATCACCACAAAAGCCATAGGATGCCTAATAACTTAAATATATGAAATTGAGGCCTTATTTATAATAAGAAAATATAGCAAAATTATAATAACTATTTTTTAATGCTCAATAAAAAGACATTTTTGTAAATAATTTATTTTAATTATTGTAATATTAATCAAAATTTAAATTAATATTATTTATTATACAAATGTACATAGAAACACTCTTATAAATTATTATTTAAGTAATAGTTTTCTATATTTTTGTAGTTAGCTCAATTTTGTAAATACCCGTTTGAAGTTAGTGAACTATATACACATATTAATTATACATAAATAAAATTATTTAAATAGATAATCTAAATATTCTAAAACCCGCAAAGTACTAATTAATTTATGGAATAAACAGAATGTAGCAAAAATTATACTATTTAATAATGATATTATTGTTTAACTGTCTTAATCATAACAGTTTAAAAAAATATGTAAGGCTTACAAAACGTTTTGTAGAAACTACTTTTTTAGGCTACAAGTAGCTTCAAAAATACCAGCGCGAATTTATGTCAAATACTTGTCATAATTTTTTTACACCGAAAATCATTTTATAATTAGTTGCAAATATTTGCAGATCTTTGCTATAGAGCGATAGTTTTCCACAGATATTTGTTTGTCGTTATCGGTCCACGATTTCACCTAGGTTTTAGGCCACACATAATCAAAAATTTAAATTTCCTCGCATTTTTCACCTATATTTACTGGCCCTCAAGAATATAAACCGTATATTTTTATTAAAAATAATTGTTTCATGAAACCCCTCACAGAACACCAAGAAATGAAACTATTACGTTTTTTTACAACAATAACGTTTCGTTCAGACGAGTTCTGTGTAACTCCAACACACATGTAAGAATTAGGGTTCTATAGTTGAAACGAAAAGTCGACTTTTCGACTTTTTTCATTTAGTTAAAAGTCGACTTTTTGCATTTTATGAAAAGTCGATTTTTCGACTTTTTTCATTTAAATAAAAGTCGACTTTTAGACTTTTCGACTATAAGTATTTTATAAATTGTCGACTTTTTCGACTTTTTTCGACTTTTCGATTTTTTCGACTTTTTGACTATTTTCGACTTCTTTCTACTTTTTTTCGACTATTTTTTTTGACTTTTTTTTCCACTTTTTTAATATTTTTGACTATTTTTGACTTGTTTCTACAATTTTCGACTTTTTCCGACTTTTTTCGACTTTTTCCGACTTTTCGACTTTTTTCGACTTTCTTCGACTTTATTCGACTTTTTTCGACTTATCGACTTTTTTCGACTTTCAGACTTTTCGACTTTTCGGCTTTTTTCGACTTTTATTCACAAAGTCGACTTTTCGACTTTTTTCACAGACGATAGTCGAGTTATCGACTTTTTTGGAACAAAATAGTCGACTTCGACTTTTTTCGACAAAAAGTCGATTGTTTGATTATTCGAAAGTCGATTTATAGAACCCTAGTAAGAATGTCACTCTCTCTCAAAACTTCAAAACTTTGTAGCGAAAATTCGTGGCTTATAGCACTTAAAAGTATTTTTTATCACTTAAAGTCATAGAAAAGGTATACATAGAACTAAACTGAGTATGACAAAACCTAAGTCTGCTGTCAAAAATGTATTAGTTGAGAGAATGTATTAGTTGAAAAATATGTAACCCAACAAACACAAACTCTTTCGTTTAAAAAGTTTTTATATTTTTGTTTGATATTATATTTCGATATTTTATGAAATAATGTTTTGAATTAGCCATTTTTATTCAATATCAGTTGACCAATGTAAGAAAGATCTTCATTAAAAATTATTCTTAATTTTAAATAAACTCTTTGTGTTTGCTGGGTTGAGTCAACATTGACACTTGAAAATTATATTAAAAAAATAAAAACGATTGAAAAATTTGTTTTTTTCTGAAAATGTTTTCAATAATTTTATAGGAAAAACATAACTTTTAGCAGTGTTTATTGCAGCAGCAGAGGCTATTTTGCCAAAGGAATTGTGCTAATGCTAAAATTAACGCTTGATATGAACGATTATTGTTAATGTTGATAATGTTGAATAAAGCAGCCCAAATGCAGTCAAAATACACCCTACACCACACTAATGGGAACGGCATTTTGTTTATGTCTTAAAGATTGTAACACCTGCGTCGATGTAATGAAGTAATCCGTCCATAAATTAGCCTATTGAACTTTTTTGTAAGCAGTACATGCTATACAAGAATAGAGTATTTATAAAATTTGACTCAACAAATTTTATATATACGAAATTTTGACTATATATTGTTATAATGAGTAGTACATTCATTAATTAAGCAAACATCAATCTCTTGAATATAACTTCTACAGTAAAAAATACTAAATAACTTATTGCTACTTACTCGCAATGTGGTAGGGTATGATGTATTCGGATACATTTTGTACTTTCATATTTTTGTTATTTTATGTAAACAAAAATAAAAATACTCATACAATTGTATTAAATTCACACAGAACCTGTACATGTGAGAGAGTAATATTTCTTATTCTCAGTCTCAGTTCTATTTATTTTTCTATGCTTAAAGTTATATTTTATTATTTTTTTTTGCACAATTTAAATACATTTAATAGCCCGAAAAGAATCTATTTTTTACAAACGAAAAAAATATTTTTTTATTTTTTTGACAATAAATTTTTGTTGTTGAAATTAAAACTGAAAAAAGACAATGTTGTAAATTTTCGTATGGTACAAGAAAAAATATTTAAAATAAATTATTTATTTTTTCAATATTGCACATTAAAAAGCCAACATACATTCTTCTAAAATGTTTATAGATAAATTATGTTATATGATATAAGTATATCTTAATTCAGTAATGTGTTATGTACGTTTAAGTGATTTTCGGGAGGGGACCTTGTATTGGACTATGACTAATTATGGACCGATCGCAAAAAAAATCTACAGTAATATTTCTGTATACAAGAGCAATACTTGAACCAAATGTTTTCAAGATATCTTAATTTAGTAAGGAGTTGTGTATTTTTAAGTGATTTTCGGGAGGGGACCTTGTATGGGAGCTATGACCAATTATGGACCGGTCCCAAAAAAAAATCATAGTAATATTTCTGTATATAAGAGCAATACTTGTACCAAATTCTATATGTATATCTTAATTTAGTAATGAGTTATGTGCGTTTCAGCAATTTTCGGGAGGGGACCTTGTATGGGAGCTATGACCAATTATGGACCGATCCTGAAATTTTTTTCTCTGAATGAATTCTATTCACATAAGATTTTAATTTGTAAAATTTTGTGAAGGTATTAACATTCTGACGTAAGTTATTAACAATAAACTCATTTTCCGGGAATACGTACTTTTGTATGGGAGGTATATGAAGTTGTAGACAAGCTCTAGTATAGAAACGAATGTATGATGATTTTCATACAATTATATTGTATAGTTTTCGTGAAAATTACATCAGAATGTGTAAAAAAATGCTTATTTTTTTCGGAGTTGTTTTAAATTTTGATTCATAACTTTTGTGAACCGATTTTGCTCATTTTCAATACCAAACTGCCTAGGACAATAATAAATATTTTGGGTGAATTTCGTAAATTTTTGTTGCTTCGTATTAACGTGAGAATGTTTTATACAGACAGACAGCGGACGGACAGACGGACATAGCTAGATCGACTCAGAATTTCATAAGGTCCAAAAATACATATACTTTGTTGGGTCTCAGATGAATATTTCTTGGTATTACACACGGAATAACAAAGTTATATATATCACCGCTGATGGTGGTGGAGGGAATAAAAATAGTTAAAAATGTAAAAAATCAATTTTCAAATTGAATTTTCGCACATTTTCTTATAGTTGGTCATAGTTCCCATAAGAAGCCTTCTTCGGAAAATCACGTAACTCATGATATCGGGATAAAATTCCACACGAATATGTTATGTACATACACAAATTATTCAGCAATATTTTTTCTAAATCGTAAATAACTTATGAATTAAAAATATCGGTATAAAATTATACCTGAATGTTTTGTATATACAGTTAGTCAATAAATTCTTTTCACTATGGAAATATTTGAAATTTTTTTTAATTAAGAAGGATGTATTTTATAAGGGAATTAATTGCAAATAGAATTCATTATTTTCAAGCTTTGATCTGGCAGCACTGGTTGTGCTGCCAGGGTTTACATACATCATTTCAATAGCTCCCATTATATTCAACTGCATCAATCCACAAAACGTGCACGTCTAATGACCAATGCGACACCTTCTCTTGAGCCAGTAAAAGGCTTAAATGTTTTTTTCGTATGCAAATAAATTATGTGGTACATTGTTTTTTTACATAAAAATCTTATGTAAAATCGCCAAATTAAATACTATCTACATATATTGCACTGTATCTTGCATATGTAGTTAATAATCGATAAACGCTATTGTTTAATCTTGTTTTTTATTTCGGCGTTTTTCAAATTTCAATTTGATAAAGTCTATTTTCTTCAAGTAGATCTAACGCAACGTATTCCAAGAACTGAAATTGGTCATAATCTGTTCTTAGATAATTATTTTCCGTCGTACCAATTGTTTGAAATTCCAAATGAGAAAGAAATGAAGCGAAAAGGACGAGGATTATCAACTAATAAACATAAAAACATTAAATATTATTTCGGCAGATGTTCTATTCAAAGACACAAAATTAACAAAAATTAGATTTTCAAAATAATTGGCACATTAATTAGTGCGGAGTTTAAAGCTGGTGCTATTGTTTCGGATATGGGGCCTACTAATCAATAACTTCTAAAGAAATTAAATATAAAAATTAATCAGCTGATTGAACAACAACAACAACAAATTTAAAATTCAAAACATCAAATACCTTGTCCACGAAACCACCGTATGGTAAGAACCAAGGTTAATTCACATAAGTGAACTGCTACCATCCCGTAGTGGTAGCAGTTCGGCAACAACAACATTTTACATATATAATATCAACTGATTGAATAACGCTGCCTTATGTGAATTCGCTTTGGTAAAAACATTGAGATACGGGTAATTCCACAGACATTTCGACCACTTCAAATTTTCATCACTTTCGATTTAGTTATAACTCAAAACATACATTCTACTCTTAATTGCGGTTTCTATGGCGTATAAATTGGATTCTTAAATCAGTCGGTTCATATTTTATGGGCCTATAAAGTAGGGCATCTCGGGTATTTGTGTTCAAAATTAGAAATGTTGATGATTGAATATCTTTGGAACCACTTGTCCGATTTTAACAAATGTTTCGTTCGACAGGTCTTCGATTACTCGTTTTTAAATTTCATTAAAATTGCATGTAGTTCTGGTGCAAGGACCATATAGTAGAAAATGTCTTTTATCCT